CATTTTGAGAATTCTTTACATTATTTTCTAGGGAACTGAAACAAAAATAAAGGTAAAGTTACAGCTTCCTTCACAGTTTCAGTATTTCTACCTTCTTTGTTTTATTTGGTGGGGAGGATGAAAAAGGAATAAGAAAGAGAGGAAAACTACGAACAAAGGGGACTAGTGTAAACACAAATACTAAACCAACAAACCAACATGGACAGGTACATTTGTCAGTGAATACAGAACTATCTAAAAGGACACGATTACTCACACTGCCTTCCAAAAGCTCTTCCATAGAGCAACCTTGGTGTGACTGCTGGTATTTTTCTTGAAAAAGTTTTCCATCAAACATTTCCCAAGGCATCAAATCATCCATTCTGAATGGAAAGCCACAGGTACTATTGGCCATGAGTAGAGTTGTAAGGCCACGAACAAAGACAGCGCCAAGATGTACAGCTCTGGGGTCCACTTGTGCAAGCTGTTAACACCAAGAAAAAAGGAAAAAAAAAAAAGGTAGGCCTCAGAAACCAGGAAATACGAGCAATCTTACCATCACATATAATAATTATGTGAACAGCAGAGCAAATGATAAACAGTCCCAAAGCTGTGACAATGGTAGTCCTCTACTGTGGGAAACCTCAGCTGGTCCAAGGGATTGGAATGTAAGCTTAACATTAACCTTGAGCAGATAACCGTGTACCCTTAAGGAGTCTGGAAAGTCCCGAGAAGAGCTGAGTAAACAAGAGCAAGGTACTGCCTCCACAAGGAGAAGTAGTTTATCGAAGATGTAACAAAGAAGAGATCATCCTATCATGAACTGTTGCTCCTTTGAGCGAACCAATCATGTATGGACACACATTCTTAAGATAGATATAAAACGGGCTTGTATGAACAATAAAGAGTCCTTTTTGGCCTTTGGCTTTGGTGCACGATTCCGTGCGTGTCATGTCCGTCTCAACAGCGACACTCTACTGCACAGTAGAATTCATAAAAGGATTCTGTATCTAATTTTAATCAATAAAGCAAAACAAGTGAAGTTCATTTTAACAAATAGAGCATATCCGTCAAGTTTTTAACACAGATACATTCAAAATGAAAACAGAAAGACAAAATAAATGGCTGCTATCCACAGTATTTCTCAAGCATTACCAGTTCCCCAGAAAGAATTCTGTTATGGAATGCAAAACATGAACTGGGAGTATGAAATTATGTGTACAGTGATCCATTGACCTTCCACAGTTTGATCAACCGGGAAATGTTACAGCACTTAGAGATCATTTAAATTATAAGATTGGACAGAACAAAGTTTATTATGCCCAGACGTTTCTTTTAAACACTACAATTTCCTCTGACTGTAGTCCGAAAGTCAAATTATTTCACTTCAACATGGATGTCTCCCGAAGAAATACTAGAATGGTATGACAACATCCAGAAAATGTTTAATGAGAAACTCAACAAGACAATTAAAACTCACAGCCAAAATAAACTTGATGGGTGAATTTAACATCCTGCTGTGGCAGAGCACAGCTAACTATAAAAGCCTTGAATCCAATATGGGGAAAACTGTGATTTTAAATATTGTGTAAACAGTACAAAGCTCCTCAGTGGGGAATGCCTTTTCCGCAGTCTGTACTGAAGCAGTCTGTCAGGACCAGGAAGGATTCATAACAGCGTGGCTATCAATACTGTAATCCGTGGCAGCTGGTACCCTTACCGTATGTTGTGGTTTAGGCCTCGCTGGCAACCGAGCACCACATGGCCGCTCGCTCACTCCTACCCCCAGTAGAATGGGGAGAAGAAAATATGAGGAAAGGCCCATGGGTTGAGACAAGAACAGGGAGGGATCACTCACCAATTACCCTCACAGGCAAAACAGACTGGATTTGGGGGAAAAAAAAGTCAATGTAATCTGTTACCAATCAAATTAGTGTAGGATAATGAGAAATAAAACCAAATCTTAACACCACGTTCCCCACATCCCTCCCTTCTTCCAAGTCTCAGTTTTGCTGCCCATTTCTCTCCCATCTACCCTCCAGCAGCAAAGGGGGATTGGGAATGGGAATTGTGGTCAGTCCATCACATGGTGTCTCTGCTGCTCCTCCCTCCTCAGGGGGACGGATGCTCACACTCTGCCCCTGCTGCAGCGTGGGGTCCTTCCCATGGGAGGCGGCCCATCTCTTTCCACTGCAGGTTCCCTAGCAGTTGTTTTTTCCCCTCTTAAATACATTATCCCAGAGGTGCTGCCATCATCATTGACAGGCTCGGCCAGGGCCAGAGGTGGGTCCAACTTGGGGCCAGAGAAGCTTCTGGCAGCTTCTCACAGGAGCCACTGCGGTAGACCCCAGCTACCAATGTGAAGATATGAGGTGTACCTCCACTGGCTGCTTCTTCTACAGAGCAAAAGCAAAAGAGGACCTAGAGATGATGATGCAGGCAAAAGATACCAGGCAGGGTGGTCAAGAGCCCTCTGGGAAGAACTGCCTCTAGTGATTCCTGGAAAGGCATCAAGCGGACTACCAGGGCACTGACCCATCAGGACACTCTGTACTTGAAATTCACCCAATACAGACAACTGGAGATAATCACTGACATCCAGAGAAATGCAGGCAACACAAGCTAATTTGAGCAGTCATTTAGAAAATGAAAGGGCCATCCTTTCCTGACTGTGACATTTCATATTGAGCAAAGGAGACCTTCTTCTCCCCTCCTTTTAAAATAAAAATATTTTCAGTATGGGATCAGGCTGCTGAGTTTCAGGAAGTTATTGCCTCCAGATGTAAACTATTGTTTTGCCAGCCGCGACTAGTGGATACTCATAACTCTTGCGCAGGAATGGAAAGCAGCTTTTTTGCATACCATTTAACAATGCTGAAATGTACGCGAAAGAGGAATGTGGTGAACTAGTATTGTTTGTACTAAAATAGCCAGATACCATGCTGGAGCTGAAAGATCCTTATATTGCACTAACCAGGTTGTTTCTGATCACCTGATTACATCTTAGGACCTGCTAAGGGAATGAGTCCACCTCACTACAAGCTTTAAAATGGAACCTCATTGGTTGTTATCACAAAGTAAGACTTTATGAGTGGGAAGTCAAAAGGGTACGAAGTGCTGGGAGCCCTCAGAACTCCATTTTTTTTGTACACTAATCCAGCTAGGGAATTCTTTCAGAGTTTATGCAACTTAGTCTTTTCCCAACACAACAATAAATTGAACTTTAACTAACTTCAATAAAATACTTTAGAACACACTTTGACAAGTTGTAAAGTTTTGCTCTTAAGCAATAAGGAAAAGGGACATGTGAAGCTGTAATGGGTAACAGGTTTAAATTGAAAGTGGGGAGGTTTAGATTAGATATCAGGAAGAAGTTCTTCCCGGAGAGGGTGGTGAGGCACTGGAACAGGTTGCCCAGAGAAGCTGTGGGTGCCCCATCCCTGGATGTCTTCAAGGCCAGGCTGGATGAGGCTTTGAGCAACCTGGTCTAGTGGAAGGTGTCCCTGCCCATGGCAGAGGGGTTGGAACGAGATGGTCTTTAAGGTCCCTTCCAACCCAAACCATTCCATGATTCTATGATTCTAAGCTACAATTAGCAGTAGAGGCCAAGAGTGACAGCAGCACACCAACCAGCTGAATCCAACTTGGCCAAAGCCATATCAAGATGATTTGTATCACCAATATACCAAGTCTCTTTATTACAGATCAGCACAAAACCAGACTTAAATTTCCTGTCATACAAATCAGTATCTTCTGTCACTGAATTATCAGTAAGTACTGATAATATCAAAAGATTTAATTGCTGAAAACAAACTTCCCTGAAGAATAATGAAAGCAAGTATTTAAGCTGCTGAAAATAAAAGAGTAAATTCTGTCACCTGCAGCAAGCAATTTCCCTTCAGATTTAAGGGCTGTGTACTTCACGAGTATTAATTCACACCTTTTTGTCATTTACTGACAAGATGCTTTTACCATCCTTTTTAATCCCACTGGTACCAAGGATGTAAAACAGCTGTTAGGACAGATTACTAACACTTCATGTGAATGCTGGATGCCATCTGGGCCATAAATTTTAAAATAAAGCTTCTATATCTTTATTTTATTCTGGAAACTCTAAGCATATACCCAACAGAAATATGCAGCTAACCCCCTTCCTCAGTTCAAGTTCATGCAAACCAAATGCATGTTTTGCAGAATAAGTGTCTAAAGAGAATCTGTAAAGTTTTGCTTTTGATGGTGATGCACAAAATAGTAAAATAGAGAAGAGGGCTTTGCTGTACCAAGCTGGAGATCAGTGTAGTACTGTCATTGATGCTCATTCTGCCTGAGTATGAAGTCTGAGCCACCAATACAACCCTAACTGTGCTCTTCTGAACTACACTTGAAACACAGAATCCTAGAATTGTCTGGGTACAAAAAGAACTTTGAGATCGCAAGTCCAACCATTAACCTAACACTGCCAATACCACCACTCAACCTTGTCCCTAAGTGTTACATCTACACATCTTTTAAATACCTCCAGGAATGGTGACGCCACCATCTCCTTGGGCAGCCCACTCCAACACCTGACAACCCTTTCAGTGAAGAAGTTTTTCCTAATATCTAATATAAACCTCCCCTAGAGCAACTTGAGGCCATTTCCTCTTGTCATATCTCTTGTCACTTGGGAGAAGAGACCAACCTCTCACCCCCTGCAACCTCCTTTCAGGTAGTTGTAGACAGCGCTAAGGTCTCCCCTGGGCCTCCTCTTCTCCAGGCTAAACACCCCCAGCCCTCTCAGCTGCTCCTCACAGGACTTGTGCTCCAGACCATTCCCCAGCTCCGTTGCCCTTCTCTGGGCACACTGCAGCACCTCAGTGTCTTTTTTGTAGTGAGGGGCCCAAAACTGAACGCAGGATTTGAGGTGCGGCCGGCCCAGTGCCAAGCACAGGAGGACAGTCCTTTCCCTGCTCCTGCTGGCCACACTGTTCCTGATTCAGGCCAGGGTGCCATTGGCCTTCTTGACCACCCAACAAAAGTTGTGCACCGACCGGTAATCGAACCCAAGTCACAAGAACGGGAATCTTGCATGATACCACTACACCAGCGGTGCTGCTGACATACAGATTAAAAAGATAAAATAATGTCGCTGGTGACAGGTTTTACAGGTAGGAGACTCCACTGTCTAGGGATATCAACCCAGAACTTTTCTAAAGCAATAAAGTATCGGGACAAGGATGGGGGGAGGAGGGTGGTTGGTGGATATCAGGTAAGGCTTGTTTTTTTAATTGATATCAATATTGGCAAGACCAAGGGAAGAACTATCAACAGTGATTTCTCAATTTTAATAAGACAGGAAATACATTCACTAAAGGGCAGTTTCTATTTCCCATGTCTGGCAACAAAAAAACAAAGGAAATGAAAGCACAGCGAGTCTATAACAATGAGCCTGTGCACATGGTAAACCACAGACTTGCTTTGCAATGGGAATGCACACAACTGCCTGGTGTCTGCAATGCAAAGATGTCATGACGAGGAGAAGTGGAAAATTCCAAAAGAAAAGAAGGCTTGCCTTCCAGGGCATTACACCCTTGAGATTACTTCTTATTGGAAATTGTGTCTGTTCTTTTTCCTATTTTTATAAACTCAGGACCCCAGTGAATCATGTGAGATACACCCCTGTGATCCCGCTGCTGCTACTCCTACCACCAGCTGATGATCTTTGTGTGAGAGAGACGGAGGAACGCGTGAGAACTGCTCCTCCTGCACCAGCTGCCTGCGCTGTGCCCCCGCGGCTGCTCCTACCAACAGCAGCTCCCCATCCTCTCGGCGTTTGGGGAAAAAGATTATTTTTCCTATTTTCCAAAATTAACTGAAGACAGAGAAAAGAACTGGAAAGTTCACAGTCCCCTAGTATCATTGTAGCAGAGGTTACAGATATCATGCCTAGAAGGCCTGAGCTGAACTGGGCAAGCTCACTTGAAAAAAGCAAGAGAAGTGCTACGTAAGAATACAAAAAATAATGCACTTTGAAAGCTGCACAACCTATTTTCAGGAGCATACTAAAACACCCCACAACTCCTTCAACCACTCTACTCTACGGAGTTCAGAGGGTTGAAATTCTATTAAAAGGATAAATAGGTTATACCGCACTTGAAATGTGACAGCAACTATCTGAGCATGCCAGATGTCAGCAGACACAAGTGAAGGCCAGAACTGTAACCACTGGCAAAGGCATCTCATACCTTCAATTCTAGAGACCAAAGAGAAGGCAAAGATACATGATAACCATTTTGCACTTCTTAATTGCACTACTTTACACGTCATCTATGTCTCAATGCACTAAATACTACATTTCATTTAAGGACTGGTTCATTTAGCAGGATTTTCAACAACATTCTGGGGACACACTTTTTCAATGAAAAAAATTTGTATCAATAATTGTTACTTAGGTTAAAGTTGTTCTTACGCATGTATTTTTTTTTCCCAGTCCATCGCCTTCTTCCTGTGGCTGAGCTGAATACAGAAGATATAGGAGTATGGCTAACGTTTTGAAATACAAATTTAAAAAGAAATAACTTAAAAATTACATAAGGCATCCTTCCACCCTCTCCTCCCTTTCCCTCCCCAGCCATTCTCAAAAGAACATACCTGTTTCTGTTATAAAAAGGAACACAAAACACTCAAGGACAGGTTAGTATTTGCTAATTTCTAGTTAAAATCAATCAATTGAAGAATAATAATTAAAAATCAATGAAATTTGACCCAAGCAATAAACTGCTGGAACTCAAGCGATGGTGATCAAAAGCTGAGTAATTTCCTAGTTTAACCAGTTCATGTTAGATCCATTTGAACTCAGTCACTGTATTATCAGTATAGTACTTCTTACATTACCTCCCCCAAACCCACTTTTATCTTAAATGACCAAATATTTAACCATAGGCAATTTATGCTTGAGCAATAAAGGCAGCAGGTAGATCCTATCTCAGGAACTTGTCATTAAAACAGTAAGGCTTATTAGCTTTGCTTGGGAGAGGTAAAGCACACCGTGTTCCAAATGCAGAGAGATGAACTGTCAACTGTTGACAACTTCACTGAAGTTAAATTCTCTGCAGTGTAAAGTATCACTAAACAAATTCTTTCAACCAAAAGACAGAGTCCTTTCTTGAATTCCAGATCTTCCTGTCTTTAACCATGAGTATAAATTCCCAGCGTGAGTTGTCACAAGATGCTGCAACCTCTGCGTCCTGGAACTATATGCTCTGTTCTTGAGCAAAGATAACCTAAACCAGTGCAAGAGTGGCAAATTTAAGGAGAGATGGGCTGGTGAAATTGCATTTGCTTGACATCACTCAGCTTTAAGCAATAGGCTGCTGGGAGTGGAGTACATCACCTACTTCCTTGACCTGTCAAATTGAGGTGGGAGAGGAGCACCAGTATTTTGAAAACACAACTAAGGTTTATTCTGATAAAAGATTACAGCTTAAATTAAGCTCTTCCTGCTTAAACAAGGTGTGTCCAAAGGAAAATGGGGATTGAAAAGCGATCCTATGAGGGCATCTGCTGCAACAGAATCTAGAAAAACCAGTTTTTAAACACTTCTAAGGCTTCACTGTAAATATTTAGCAGTAAACAACCTGATTGTTTAGTGTTTATATCTTAAGGAAAGATTATTTACTGGGTTTTATCAGGAGTTTGATGTAAAATGAAACCTCTCAGTGGATCAACACTGTTATTTACATTAAGCAAAAAACTCCAATGAAGTCAACCTAAAAAAAGCTTTAAAATTGCTTTTACCTTTAAGCATCCTACAACATAACAACACCAAAGTGCTACTGCTACCTAATCTGCAATCAGGTTAAAATCATCTTCAGTTCCAAAAAGACTGCTGCTCATTTCTTGTTTAATTTTCAAAGATACTGCCCTTTATCAGAGCTCTTATCTACAACAAAACCCAGCATAAATGACATTTATGTGATGAGATGAATCTCACCAGTTAAAAAGTTTAGCCCCTTCAGCTAATTTGTGCAACTTTAGCTGAGTTATGCAATGGACAGCACACAGACACCTGCAAAAAAAGATTAAAACAACATTTCTTATTGTAGCCACAACTGCTCAACTCTGATCTAAATGTCTACTGGGCTAATGACAGTCCATAACACACGTGACATTTACAGAACATTCACATAAATTTTGAGTTATAGTCATCAGACTCATAATCTGGCTGTAGGCTGGCTGACAGCCACATCCTTTCTACCAAAGTGAATGGATTCATTAGGATTTTAATTTTTACTGTCTTAAATACATGCTCATGTTTTTGATGACGTACTTGTCTCTGAGCTTCTTCACCTTTTCCTCATATAGATAATACTGGACTTATTTGGTAGCATAATATATTTTAGTTGTTTGAGACTGAAAACTCTTGTGAAGACATTTTCTTTCCTTCATTTGTTTTCCTACTTAGTTAAATGTTGTGGAATTACAAGAAAGGGACATACTGGTAGCTCCATCTGCCTTGCAACTAACGAAGTTTGTCGCAGATGGGGGACAAACTGCTGGCAGACTCCCGGTACGTCAGCACCAGGAACTGATGGGCTCCTGCATTTTTTTTTTTCAGCAGTTTGAAATTGTTTCCCACGCCTGTAGCAATGTCTCCCTCTTACATGGATGCCCTAATAATGTGATGTCACATTAAAGTTTCCTCCTGTTGGGCAATTTAGAGTGTCTTCCTCTTCTCCCCAGCTGTCTATTTAAAACAAATCAGCAGTAACTTATTTCTCTCAGAGACTCCTACATCTCTGTCAAAGGTGGCTGAAATTAGCCAACATATTCAAAAGCCATTAGGGGACACTGAGAAAAAAAATTAAACACATACAAAAGGTCATTACCCTCTCTTAATTTCTGTAACTTTCCATAGTAAGCCTTCAAAGATCAAACTTTTTCCACTCCCTTACTTGCTGACACTCACTATAAATGTCTGCATTCTACCCTACACTGACTAGCTCCTTGACCAAAATCTTTAAAATGAGAGGCTTCGTTTGCCACTACCTGCATCTTGACCACACTCCTGATCTAAAGTCCTTATCTACACCTTACCCCAGCCCTTTCCCGTTGTTTAATCATTGGGCAGGTCCATGGGACAAAGTTTTAGGAGTAAAAATTCTTCCACCAACACAACTACCTGGCAGAGCGTGCCTGGCTGCCTTTGGTAACGCGGCATGCCCTTTCACAGCCACAGACTACGTTGGCAATGATAGCTGGCTGGGTGTGCAACCCCTCGGCGTGCTGCTGCCTGGTGCCCTACCTTGTGGACATTTTTTGCAGTGTACTGTGAAAACGCTGCCGTAGATTAAGACATCGTTGTGCCTACAAATAAATTTTGATAGGTGGGAATTCATTCCTAAAACTGTCCAAGGCCTAATTAGCCAAGCTTTGCAATTAGTTTTGGGAGTTTTCTCCCCAGAGTCAGTGTAGATGCTCAAGATCTATTTAATTGTGCTAATGTATGACCATTCCCTCTCTTAAGCTGTTTCAAGTATGTACTTTCCAAGCGCCTGACCTATTTCCCACTGAAACCAACAGAAAGAGCAGTGAACTTCAGCACAATTAGATTATGCAAAATTCAGTATGTTTGAAGCTCTGCGGCTTCCAGAAACATTATAATGACAACTGTTACTAATGTCATATCTGGGATATTAGCACTTCTAATAAAACTGTCACTGAACCAAGATGGTTAGTATAGAGAATTCCAGGAGAACAAATACTGCTTGCCAGTGCAATATAGGATTTGGGTATTAGTTTGGGTTTTTTTCTCCGAGGGTTTCTTTGTATTGCAAAGCAGCTGCACAATAAGATTGTTGATAGTACAGTTCACCTTTTGAAGTGATATGGTCCAAGATAAACAGTTGTGGCTAAGGAATTCACCAGGCATTAAGTCCACAAATTGAGGAAGAAAAGAAGGTCTGCTGCTACTTCACAACAATCCCAAGGTCCAAGACAAATCAAATCAGGAATCAACCCAGCAGTATCTCAGATGACCTATGAAAGGAACTGCCAGCCCACAACCTGTGTTCAGGTGTGTTCAAGACACCAGGAATTGGTTTGTAATTAAGC